CCCCGCCCCGAACCCACCACCCTGTACTCGGAGCCCATGGACGCCACCCACAGCCCCCTGCCCTCCTGACCAGGAGGACGGATGGGGCAGTGCGGGAGTCCCGTCTTCAGGCTTAGTACCCCAGGGACCCCCTGCCTGTCCCCAGGCAGCACCTCTGCTGCCCCGGGCACCCCCCAGGAGCAGGAGCTGCTCAGCCCCCGCTGCCACGAGAGCAGAACAAGCCCAGAGCGGGATCCCAGCTGTGAGGGGTCCAGCGATATCGAGCAGCGTTTCCCAGGGCGGGATGGGCGGAAGGGGTCTCTAAAATCCAATCTCAAACCAGTATTAAGAGAAAACCACTTTTCTGTCTGCACTGCAGGGTCAAGTAACGAAAAGAAACGAAAAAGGGCCAGGGGAAGAGACGGGGAAAGAGCAGGAGCTGCATCCTGAACCCCACCCTTGGAGCCGGCGACGCTCCTCCTGCAGCCGGCCACTCCGAGGTTGCCCCCGCCGGCACCGAGCAGCAAATCGGGGTGAAAACGGTCCCTGTGTTGTCCCGCACGCAGCAGCCCTGCAGCCCCCGCGCTTGTCTCAGTCCCACGTCGTCGGACGCCAGACCAAGCAGGCAAATACTCCGGCGTGTGCCGCGTGACAGGTGCTGGCGCGGACGCGAGCCAGGCGCGCGCAGCAACACCCGTAACTCTCACACAAGGGCCGCTTCACACCCCGGGCCTGCGTCCCCTCTGCCCTGCACAGCGCCAGGGACCTCCGCCCAGCTTTCGGCACCCATCTCGTCCGCTAGCAGCTGCTCGAGCTCCATCGCCACGGTGCAGGAGCAGGTATACACGAGTTGCGAGAGAAGCAAAGGCGAGTTCTGGGGTGGTCCCAGAAGGAGAAAGAAACCCGCTCCACGCACAACCCAAGGTCCCAGTCCAGGCAGCCACACGTCAGCTTCCGCGATGTCTCCCCTTCCCGCAGGCTCATCTCCCCGAGACCTGGCAGTGAGTTGTTGCTGAGACCAGGAGCAACCTGGAGCAGCAGCTGAGGCAAGAACATCCCTGCGCTGGTGGAAGAGGTGAAGCTGTGAGTCCCCAGCACGGGGAAGGTCCTTGGGCGGGTGTCCTGGTTTCGGCTGGGATAGAGTTAATTTTCTTCCCAGCAGCTGGTGCAGCGCTGCATTGTGGATTTAGCAGGAGAATAATGTTGATAACACGCCGATGGTTCAGCTGTTGCTGAGCAGTGTTTATACTAAGTCAAGGACTTTTCGGCTTCTCACGCCCTGCCAGCGAGAAGCCGGGAGGGGGCACAGCCGGGACAGCTGACCCACACTGGCCACGGGGATATTCCATACCATGGGACGTCATGCTCAGTACATAAACTGGGGGGAGTTGGCCGGTGGGGGGTGACCGCTGCTTGGGGACTGGCTGGGCATCGGTCAGCGGGTGGCGAGCAACTGCATCGTGCATCATTTATTTTGTATATTCTTTTATAATTATTATTATATTCCCTTCCTTTTTTGTCCTATTAAACTGTCTTTATCTCAACCCATGAATTTCACTTTTTTTTCTCTGATTCTCTCCCCCACCCCGCTGCAGGGGGGGGAGCGAGCGAGCGAACGGCTGCGTGGCGTTTAGCTGCCTGCCGGGTTAAACCACAACAACCATCAGCGAATTCCAGGGCTCGTTCCTCCCCCCTGCTTGGCGCAGTGCCCTAAGGACGGCTTCAGCTGAAGAGAGGACCCCCCAGGGGATCTGTACCAGGACGCGATTCCCCCGTCTCGGAGCAGCTCTCACCTTTTCCCTTGTTGAGTACATCTGTGAGTACATCTTCTCAGCCTTCTCCAGGTAGCTCTCCCCAGACTCCTGCAGGGACCAGGCAGGAGACATTGATACAGAAGACCCGGGCCCTCTCCCAGCACCCCTGGGCAAGGTTCCCCGCTGAAGTAGGCAAAGAAACCCCCCCGGCCCTCAGCCCCCAGCCCCAGCCCCGCAGGCCAAAGCAGTGACCGAGCAGAGACTCCAGCGGGGTACGGCCAACACTGCGGCACCAGCAGAGCCTGGCTGGAGCTGCAGCCCCTTTCAAAAATGGAAGGTCTGTGCCCAGGGCTGGGCAGGGGGCCCAGAACGGTCCCCTCGAGTGTGCCTTGTGCAGGGGTCTGCCAAGCTCCTCTCCCAGCACGGACAGAGCCCTTTGCCTGGGCAGGGGGAAGCGCTGGGCTCACCACGCTGCAGGCTGCTCTCCCCAGCATCGTGCTGCGAGCGGAGCAGCCCGACTGACTGCGGGACTGACATTTCCAAAACAGCACCTGAGCTGGCCCTGCACCACCGGCGTGCCATCCCCTCCGCCGAGCAGCAGGCAAACAGCCCCTCCTGGACCGGCTGACACCTCCTCTACACGGAGCTCATCCATCAGCCGTGGCAGGGCTGTCGCTCGCCCAGGGACAGACGCTGACAGAGGAGAGAAGCTCTGGGACTGCCAGCAGAGTGGCCAGGGGACGGACAGACCGGCACGGCACGGAGCGAGCCTGTGATCATTGACGGTGCAGGACACCCCCCCTGCCTCGGGACGGCCACGACT